CTCTAAAATTGTAGCCAAATGTAGTATCCATTACTAGAACAAAGAGAAATTTACGTATTCACCTACAAGTTTTGATATAAATAATAAATATATATTATTCTTCATCAAAGAAGTCAAATTAAGCTATCTAAATTTCTTACATCTTCATAAATCAAATAAACTTGAATATTGGAGAAAAAGACGAAAGAGAAAGAGAAAAATGGAAGAGAAGAAAAGGAAGAGGAGATAAGATAAGACGGAAAAGAAAGATAAAATCATAAAACTGAAGGAGAAGAGATGGAGAAAAAGACGAAAAAAAAGTGAAAAGTGAAAGAAGAAATAGAGGAGAAGAAGATGAAGATGAAGATGAAGATGAAGGAGAAAAGTGGAGGAAAAGATGATGATGAAAAAGCAAGATGAAAGAGAAAAGTGGATGAGAAGACAAAATGATGGAAAAAGTAGATGAAAGAGAAAAGTGAAGGTGGGCTCTAGGAAGTTTAATTATAATTAATATGTAAGGTTTTTGTTTATTTATTTTTTGAAACCGGTTTTAGAATTGGGTTTTGGTTAACTAGTTTAAAAAAACTTGTAAACCGAACCGATTAATCAGTTTATAAATTTTTCAGACTGAAAACCGAACCAGATTTCAAAAAAACTGAATTTTCGATTCGGTTTCGATCAAGTTTTCGGTTTTCGGTCTTTTTTTCCCACCCCTAGTTAAGAAGGCCTTTTGTATTTCAAAATGTGAGATGAGGCCTAGCCAGCACATAACATGATTTAGATTGGGCAGATTGGCAAATGCATTGTGACTTCATCTTAATCTAGATTAAATAAATTGAAGCCATAACATGCATCATCCTGGAGAAGAAAAAAAAATATAGAATAAAAACAAACTTTACCTAACATATTTTTTTGTTAGTGTTACTCTTCAACTAAAATAAAAGCAAATACATTGTCCTAAGTGCAAATTCTTTTGTATAAGTTGAAAAACAGTAAGAAATTTTAAATAAAACAACATATAATCCTGAAATAACACAAGAAAATAAAGAAACTCTCTCATATAAATTGACAAAAACACTTATTTATACAGGAATTAAACCTTAATTTTACTCAAATTAAAATACTTCATACTAATACTCATTTATTTTCTAACATAAACTACTATTACATGCATCAAAATAATAAAATATATTCATAAAAAAAATTAGCAATAGAACTATGTTCATAACCACCTCAATCAACCGTCTTCCAATAAAAACGGTGTACAGAAAGAAGAGCGAAGAGTTAACCTTACTTTACTTAAAATTATATATAATAATTGTGTTTAAATAAAATATTGTTTAGTGGGTTTGTCATCAAAGAGGCTTTTATAATTAAACATGCACTAACATTTTATGTCAAGTATAATAATATTAAAACGAACATATTCTTTATAATCAAAATAACAAAGTAAGCTTTTAGATATTCTACCAACTCAATCCACTCTATATATAATTCTTAAGCTTATATAAATGAAGCCTCGAGGTGATAGAATTTAAGGTGGGTCTCATTCCTCATCTAATAAGATCTTGTTGAATTAGAGGATAATTGAAGTATGCAGATATGTCAATGTTACAGATAGTTGAAGTATTGACATTCAGTTGAGATTTACATATATGAAGATAAGGAGAAATATTAGGCAAAGACTGAAAGCAAAGATGCCTTGTTTAAGGGGAAATATTAGTCAAAGACTGAAAGCAAAAATGTTTTGTTTAAGTGGAAATATTAGGCAAAGGGACTAAAATGTAAGAAACAGAAACTTAACCTAATACGGTGCGTTTCTGTATAAACCGTTGCTTATATAAACATTCCCGTGTAATATAAAGGTTCAAGGAAAAGATTAATGAACAAGACCATAGTCTCATTCTTTCCAACTTAACTAATTTCTCTCTCTCTCAGTTTCTTCATTCAATTTTATTCTTCTTTTAAATCCGCCCAAGAACCTTCAAGAATCTTTACGAGGAGACTATAATCGCCTATCTTGGAAATTTAATGACGTAAGTAACTAATTAATCTAATAATTTCAGTCCACCTTCTGGGAAATTTAAAAAGGAAGAAAAAGAAAGACGGTTCTTATTTAATCTCCATTATCAACTTAAAACGACAAACTCCATGTGGTTCTCTTCGTGCGTGTAAAGTTGAAGATAGTCTAACATAATTATTCATAAAGGTTAAAGTTAAAGGAAGGAAACTTCATCCGTTCATCTAAAGCTATCAAAATTCAACTCCGCTTTTGTTTATCGTCAGCCATTAATATCATTTTGATTCTCAATTTTTTATGGTCTAACATGAAATCTTCATATAGTAATAAAAATATTTCAAACCTAATAAGAATATTATTATTTTCATAGAGAACTGGCTAAGGTTTCAATTTCCCTTTTAAAAATTTTAAAATAGAATTAGTTTTGTTTCATTCTATCTAATAAGAACAAGTATATTTTTTATCGATTAAATGACCAACAGTCAACTGATAGACATCTATTAGTTGATTACAAGTCATTTTATTGTTGATAATTTGTCAGATATTAATGTTTAAATTTTTGGAATAGAATTATTTTATAAAATCCTTATTTTTATTGTCAAGTTTCATATTTATTTTTGAATAATTTTATTAGAAAGTACAAACGTCTCAAACTCAAAGTCCACATGCAATTGCGTTACAAGTGTTGAGTTATATCGGGTTACAGCAACTTTATAAGCTCTTTGCTCTGTCGGTCATTTGAAGAATTATTATTGCATTGGAAAGTACCAATAAAACAGAAAACAGAAGCAAAATGGGATCAGCCTTCTCCGTGGTGGCTTCAGTCGCTATCCTCCGTAGCACAGTTAACGATATTGTCCCAGAAGAATTACGCACCTACTTCTGGAGTTTCACTCGCCGTTTCTCCACTGAGATCACCATCTCCATCAAAGAATCCCATGAAGGTTCAAGCAACCGTCTCTTCTACGCCGTTGTCGCCTACCTTGACGGCCATGCTTTGTCCAACTCCGCTCTCCCTCAGCGTCTAACCGTCGGCAAAAGCGAAAAAATCCGAAACTTGATGTTTGGCCTCGAGAGAAACTCCGAGATTGTGGACAAGTTTCAAGATGTCCCCATGAAGTGGAAGTACAACACTGATTTCAACTCCACCTCGCAGTTGGAGACCAGATGGTACGAGCTTAGGTTTCATAAAATGCAAGCAGAAATGGTGAAGAACAATTACCTTCCTCATATTCTCGACATGGCGAAATTCTTGAAGGACCAAAACAAGATTGTGAAGTTTCACACAGTGAGACATGACCGGTGGAGTTCGAATNAAATACTTCATACTAATACTCATTTATTTTCTAACATAAACTACTATTACATGCATCAAAATAATAAAATATATTCATAAAAAAAATTAGCAATAGAACTATGTTCATAACCACCTCAATCAACCGTCTTCCAATAAAAACGGTGTACAGAAAGAAGAGCGAAGAGTTAACCTTACTTTACTTAAAATTATATATAATAATTGTGTTTAAATAAAATATTGTTTAGTGGGTTTGTCATCAAAGAGGCTTTTATAATTAAACATGCACTAACATTTTATGTCAAGTATAATAATATTAAAACGAACATATTCTTTATAATCAAAATAACAAAGTAAGCTTTTAGATATTCTACCAACTCAATCCACTCCATATATAATTCTTAAGCTTATATAAACAAACCTTCGAGGTGATAGAATTTAAGGTAGACCTGACTCCTCACCTAATAAAGCCTTATTAAATTGAAGGATAGTTGAAGTCTGCAGATATGTCAAACAAACCTTCGAGGTGATAGAATTTAAGGTAGATTTGACTCCTCACCTAATAAGACCTTACTAAATTGAACGATAATTGAAGTCTGCATATATGTCAATGCTACAAATACTTGAAGCATTAACATTCAGTTGAGATTTACATATATGAAGATCTGTTAAGGGGAAATATTAGGCAAAGACTGAAAGCAAAAATGCCTTGTTTAAGGGGAAATATTAGGCAAAGACTGAAAGCAAAGATGCTTTGTTTAAGGGGAAATATTAGGCAAAGGGACTAAAATGTAAGAAACAGAAACTTGACCCAATGCGGTGCGTTTCTGTATAAACCGTTGCCTATATAAACATTCCGTGTAATATAAACGTTCAAGGAAAAGATTAATGAGCAAGACAAAAGTCTCATTCTTTCCAACTTAACTAATTTCTCTCTCTCTCAGTTTCTTCATTCAATTTTATTCTTCTTTCAAAACCGTCCAAGAACCTTCAAGAATCTTTACGAGGAGACTATAATCGCCTATCTTGGAAATTTAATGACGTAAGTAACTAATTAATCTAATAATTTCAGTCCACCTTCTGGGAAATTTAAAAAGGAAGAAAAAGAAAGACGGTTCTTATTTAATCTCCATTATCAACTTAAAACGACAAACTCCATGTGGTTCTCTTCGTGCGTGTAAAGTTGAAGATAGTCTAACATAATTATTCATAAAGGTTAAAGTTAAAGGAAGGAAACTTCATCCGTTCATCTAAAGCTATCAAAATTCAACTCCGCTTTTGTTTATCGTCAGCCATTAATATCATTTTGATTCTCAATTTTTTATGGTCTAACATGAAATCTTCATATAGTAATAAAAATATTTCAAACCTAATAAGAATATTATTATTTTCATAGAGAACTGGCTAAGGTTTCAATTTCCCTTTTAAAAATTTTAAAATAGAATTAGTTTTGTTTCATTCTATCTAATAAGAACAAGTATATTTTTTATCGATTAAATGACCAACAGTCAACTGATAGACATCTATTAGTTGATTACAAGTCATTTTATTGTTGATAATTTGTCAGATATTAATGTTTAAATTTTTGGAATAGAATTATTTTATAAAATCCTTATTTTTATTGTCAAGTTTCATATTTATTTTTGAATAATTTTATTAGAAAGTACAAACGTCTCAAACTCAAAGTCCACATGCAATTGCGTTACAAGTGTTGAGTTATATCGGGTTACAGCAACTTTATAAGCTCTTTGCTCTGTCGGTCATTTGAAGAATTATTATTGCATTGGAAAGTACCAATAAAACAGAAAACAGAAGCAAAATGGGATCAGCCTTCTCCGTGGTGGCTTCAGTCGCTATCCTCCGTAGCACAGTTAACGATATTGTCCCAGAAGAATTACGCACCTACTTCTGGAGTTTCACTCGCCGTTTCTCCACTGAGATCACCATCTCCATCAAAGAATCCCATGAAGGTTCAAGCAACCGTCTCTTCTACGCCGTTGTCGCCTACCTTGACGGCCATGCTTTGTCCAACTCCGCTCTCCCTCAGCGTCTAACCGTCGGCAAAAGCGAAAAAATCCGAAACTTGATGTTTGGCCTCGAGAGAAACTCCGAGATTGTGGACAAGTTTCAAGATGTCCCCATGAAGTGGAAGTACAACACTGATTTCAACTCCACCTCGCAGTTGGAGACCAGATGGTACGAGCTTAGGTTTCATAAAATGCAAGCAGAAATGGTGAAGAACAATTACCTTCCTCATATTCTCGACATGGCGAAATTCTTGAAGGACCAAAACAAGATTGTGAAGTTTCACACAGTGAGACATGACCGGTGGAGTTCGAATAGGATGAATCTTGACCACCCCATGACGTTTAAAACGCTGGTTATGGATGGTGATTTGAAGGAGAAAGTGGTGAAGGATCTTGATAGATTTCGAAATGCAAAAGAGTATTATAAGACGATTGGGAAAGTTTGGAAGAGGGGCTATTTGTTATATGGTCCACCAGGGACTGGGAAGTCCAGCTTGATTGCTGCAATGGCGAATTATATGAATTATGATGTGTATAATATGAATTTATCGGCTGTTAACTCTGATTCTACTCTTGAAAATTTGTTGCTTCATGTGCCTAGCCGTTCCATTCTTGTAGTGGAGGATATTGACTGCTCTATTAAGCTAACAAATCGTGAAGCTGAGAAGAGTGAATCTGATTCCTATAGGGGTCCTCAGGTAATTAATTGATGTTTATATGGTCTTAAACTTGATTTACTTAATCATAGTCTTGGTTTATTTCTATGATTGCTTTATTTTAAATTAAGGTTTTTTCTTGTTCGGTGTGTTGCTTGTGTGGTTGGTTAGAGAGATTGTTTAAGCCTTTTGGGCTATGTAACTGTAAGCCCAGAGAAAGAGAGTACTTGATTGATTGATGCAATTAAACATGTTTTTCAGGCTAATAATTGTCTTGTTTGTTATTTTTTAAGCTTTAATTTCAGAAATGTGTTTCTTTCTCGTGGGATCTTTCAAGTTATTTTTATTGGGATTTTGTTACTTAAAGATTTTCAATCTGTTACTTTCAACCTTTTAGGTTCTTGTCAATGTTATATATATATATATATATATTGGTTTTTGAAAAGGAGGGCTCTTTTATACTTGAGGGACTCAACCCTTATAATCAATAAATAAGTCATAATGGAAGTAAGAATAATACTATACCTTTTAAATGATATTTTCAAATTTTCATTTCATGTAATACATTATCTTATGTGATTTTGACGTATAAATGAAGAGTTAAGGTGGTAAGTGATATGTCAACGTCACATAAGACGACAGACCATTCAGAATGAGAAATTTGAAATTTTATTCAAGAAAATATACCACTACTCTAGAAGTAATTGTACAAGTTATGATTTCACTATATGCCTTAAATTTTGTGTTTATTTGGTAGCTATTGACTCCTATGAATTTATCCAAAATAGGTGACTCTTGCCGGACTTCTGAATGCAATTGATGGACTGTTGTCATGCTGTGGAGAAGAAAAGATCACAGTTTTCACTACTAATTATAAAGAAAGAATTGACCCTGCCTTACTGCGACCAGGGCGCATGGATGTGCACATTAACCTCTCCTATTGCACATTATCTACCTTCAAGCAGCTTGCAGCCAACTACTTAGAGATTTTCAATGATGAACTCTTTCCCATTATTGAAAAACTTACTGCAAAGGTTAAAGTTTCCCCTGCTGATGTTGCAGGTGTGCTTATGACAACCGAAAATTCTAAGACTTCTCTTGAGGACTTGGTCAAGTTTTTGGAGAATAAGGTAGTTCAACATTTCTCGTTGCGGATACTTTAAAATTTGTGAAAGAAATTAATCAAAATTCTTTGACTTGTCGATTTATATAGGAATCAGAAGACCGATCCTCAGTTGCAGCAGAGCAAGAGAATCACAACAACTCGAATCAGAAAATTCAACGTCAAGGCGAAGCTTTTATTACCAATGAGATAGGTGAATCGACAAATGATTTGATGAAGAATGAAGCGTTAATTTCTAAGTATACGATTAAGGAAGAACTTGTGGCTATACTTAAAGCTATGTTTTCGAAGCATGGAGACATTGCGGCCAACACAACATTGCACTCTATGCAATGTACTTCATCTTTCTTGGAGATTCTTTGTGGGATAATCCAAAAGTTACATGCAACCAAGCTACAAGATTTGACAGAAGTTGAGGTGAAGGCGATGATCTCTGAGGTTGAAGATCTTGAATCGGTGAAAATTGAAGTGGGGTGGCTGCATAAGAGATTGGATGAGATAAGCAATGCAATGCGATTGATTGAGTTGAAGGCTGTATCCGAGAAGCTTTCTGATACCATTTTTGGTGCTCAGGTTAAACTCACTTGTTGCGAGACCAAATCTCTGGTACAGGGACTGCTTTGAGACATTAATTAGATATGCATTTATGTAATCAAATTGGAGCATGATGTTTAAATATTAGCAGTTAATTAAATACATATCATTATGTATTAATTTCGGCAGTGTTAATGCTCATTTTTTATACAAGTATAATATTATTACATCAATGATTGTCAAATCGTGTATTGTATTGTATATTGAAAACTGAATTTTTCGAATCGTATACCGTATCGTATGATATACCTTTTTCAAAAAATAAAAATAAAAATAAATAAAAAAATAATTTTTTTTCTAAAAATTAACATCATCCTCAAAATTAATTAACAAATTTTGTGGTATTATTGACTTTAAATTATGGTATTACATAATCAAAATTAATCACAAAATTAAGAACCTATATCATTTCCTCTTAACCATTCATATCATTTCTAAAATCAATGTTAATATTTATAACTCCACTTGTATTATTATTATCATGCAAAATAGATAATACATCTTTCTTTTCACTTTCTCCATGCAAAATGAGCAAATTTGAGTAGGTTTTAGTGAACCGGGTTGGGTGACCTGGATTCGACCTGAAATTTTTTTTCGACATTTGGCCCAAATTAATAAAGTCGTATCGATTTATATTGATATTTTTAAGGATACAAACGGATACATATCATATCGTATGATACATATCAACGTATCGAAAAGTTTATAATACACTCTCCGATACGTATCATTGGTGACCCATATCGAATCCTATCATAGGATACGTATCGCGTATAATAGGATACTAACAACCATGATTACAACTATATGATTATTTAATAATATTAGTTGAATAGTAGTTTCATAGATGGGCTCAATTATATATTGTTGTTAGGCCCAAGGGGCTGTACAGTAGTAATCCAAATCACAATTTAAAAGGCTCAATTATTGCGCAAAGGCAAAGCAGTTGTCTTACATAATGTAAGACAGCTACAGTCACAAGTGCAACAATCATGTCATGTGCTATATTCAAAATAAATATAATATATATTTTATTTTATTAAAAATTAATATGTAACACGAGAAAGATTTTTGCACTCACGATTGTCACTATCATTCCTTATTGTCAGCAAGATAGTAATTATCTTATTTGCACAAGGACACAAATGCAGAACGCGGTGGCTTGGCAGGACGCCTTCCATGTTGAACAGATAAATTGTCAAGCAACATTACATCTCCCTTTTCCCATTTGATGTCAACACACACTTCATCCAGTATATTTTGGTAGGTTTCTAAGGCATTTGTTAGAAGAGGAGTGCCATCTCCAAAACTAGTACTAGTGTCTTTTTTATTTGCAGAATGCCTCACTATTCGTATAAACCAAACCCTCTTTCCTTCAAACTCCCTTATTGGATTTAATGGTCCATACAAAAACTCTGCACTCCCATCTTCATTGAATTCCACTGAATTGCAACGACGCTTTCTCCAATGATCTACAAGACAAGTTATTCTAGCTATTACTAATATTTATAAGGATGAATGCATTAATTTGATTGTTGAATAAGAATAATTGAGATTCATAAACATATACATACCTCTTTTTGGCTTCAACTTCATCTTCAGTGTTCAAATAAGACTTCCATGTTGTACCAAGGATAGCATTTGAATTAACATTTGCAGTCTTTATTTTGAAAATAAAACCATTTGTTTCTAATTTGGAAACAAATTCTGGAACCTCTTTTTCCATCTTGCTTACTATAATGTGACTAGGCAGTATGCATGTCTCTCCACCTTCAGGAGACGGCTGTGTGCATAGAAACATTATATTTGAAGGATATTCTTTAGTCTGCACGTTCACATCCACACATTATAATTAATATAAATCCATTTATTTAAGGTTAAAATATTATAGAAATAGTGTAAAACTATTTTCTTTTCTTTTTATAGTGATTTTAATATATAAAAAACAACTGTTATTAATTTTAAAGCAACTTAATTTAATATATATTTATCTCATCTCATAATGGTGACGGAGATACCAGATATGTCAAATGTGTTTAGTATTAACAAAGCAACTAATATAAAGGAAAAGAAAAATTAAAGAATATTAAAATTTAGGTTCCATACAATAAAATAAACAACTTTGCCGTCCCAAACCTGAACCCCCTTGTCATTGAAAAAAAAAAACAAAAAAAAAAACATACGAAGAAGAAGAAAGAAAAGGGATAAATTAATATTGAATCATTGAGCCCAACATCTCCCCTTACGTACTGAAATGTTATCGGATTTTTTGTAAAATGTCATTTTAGTCTAATATGATAAACCAAATGATATTTAACATGATACATACAAAATTTAAATGAAAACGTCTTTACTAAGAATTACTCTATATCCTAAATAATTAATTATGTACAGCTCTATGAAGCTTAATTAATTTTATCACTTTTTTGATCAAGCTATTCTTTATATTATTATATATTATTATATATTATTTGTAATTAAGAATGAGCTGCTACAGCTTTTAATACTTAACCATAGGTCTTATATATTACTATTTTTTTTTTTGATAGAATAGAGTTAAATATACTTCAAAATAAGATGATGTACTATAAAGAAAAGCAAATTATCTTGCAATAAAAGAGGAGCAAAAAATACTTAATAAAAGAGAAGCGAATTTGCAATATAAGATTGATTTTTCCTTTCTCCTTTATTTGAAACTTCCAGATTCAAAATGCATGCCACTCCACCCTCTTTCCTAGCTAGATTTTGATAAGAATTAAGAGATTAGTTAAACTTAATCATAGGAGATTAGCAAATTAAAAAGTTATTTAAAAGAAAATTAAAATAAATAAACTTGCCAAAAACATCTCATGGTGAAAGTTGATAAACTGGTGGAGAGGAGCTTCATTTGCATTGTAAATGCGATTTGTCACCGTCACTCGATTTGTTGGCCCCATGTACGACATCTCCTCCCATTCAAACGACTCAACTACCTATCGGAACTCCTCTAGAGACAACACGTTAAATCCTCTAAACAAGATTGCATTATGGCATTTTAATAAATCACTTAGCCATTTGTAAATGCAAAAAATATACCTTTATGGAAATAGGGTCTGATCCCGTGAAGTTGAGGCCACCAGCAATTCGCTACACATGCACACGCAAGGAAATAAGCGTGAAGCTTACGAAAAACACCGGGATGGTATTTGCCGTAGGCACTTCGATGCTTAAGTCAGTAAAACTGAAAGAGACGATTTAATGAGATTTAGGGAAAGAAAGATTACTAGGAGTCTTGTTGGAGGTCAGGGCCATGGCGAAGGTGTAGAATTCTCGAGAGTCAGAATTTAGGAGTAAGGAGAGGTGATTTTAAGTAGTTGAGATTGATTATTGGAGATCGATCCCCTTATGAGAGGGCATGCCTTTGTTTATATAGTGAACCAAAAAAGGTTGGAATTCTAGTAGGACACTAAGTCCTATTTTGGGAGATAATCCCTATCAGGAAAGAAATAATATTTCTTGCCTTTATTAGATTAATTTTTCTAGTTTGAGTAAGATTCAGAATCTTAGCAAAAGAGGAAATAGAATAGGATTCTGATTTCCTATTTATAGAGTGTTGTAGGCTAATGGGCTGGAACCTAGTTTAGCTTAACTTGTAGGATAGCCCAACTCATGGAGTAGACAGTTCACAAGATGAGTTTAAGCGTAGACCCAATCGGAATTGGACTAAGGTCTGGGGCCGTGACATGTTTATTTCGTTATTGGGCCTTGTTAGACCCAAGACGATTTTTTGCCCATACAGTTAGCCCTCCACTCTCTAAGTTAAAGGGAATTTAGCTTAGAGAGTAGATTTAATCAAATGAGTGCAAACTGAGTGGATCAGCGCCAGCAGCTCATTAGGTCGGATGGATCGTTGTCTAGAGAAAGTTTGCTTGACCAACCTGAGTTAAGAAGAGTTTGCTCGACCAATTTGAGTTAGGAAGAGTTTGTTCGACCAACCTGAGTTGGGAGGTGAATGCTCAACCAACCGGAGTTGGGAGAATCATGGAGGTTCGCTCAATCAACATGAGTTAGGAGAAATTTGCTCGACCAACCAGGGTTGGGAGGAGTTATCGACTTGTAATAAAAAACCTAGGCGTTAGGTTATATGGTCAAGTTGGCAAGACCAACTTGTAGTTGAACTCTCAAGGCATTGGGCCTTGTGACCGAGTCGGTGTGACAGACTTGTGGTTGAAATTCAAGGCATTAGGCCTTGTGGTCGAGTCGGCGTGACTGACGTGTAGTTGAAATTCAAGGGTCAAGTTGGCGTGACCAACTTGTAGTTGAAATTCAAAGCATTAGGCCTTGTGTTCAAGTTGGCATGACCGACTTGTAGTTGAAAATCAATGTATTAAACCTTGTGGCCGAGTCAGCGTGACGACTTGTAGTTGAAATTCAAAGCATTAAGCCTTGTGGCTGAGTCGGCGTGACTGGCTTGTAGTTGAACATCAACGTATTAGGCTTAATCTTGTATGGAGCTGGTCTTTGAAGCTTGAGGTTGTTCACATGAAGCTTTCGATGTTTGTTTGAAGGTGACTGAGCAGAATGGAGAAGTAATTTATGGTGTGCATGTGCAAGACCAAATGAAAATAAAACTTAGATGGAGAAATGGCATGCATGTAGTGCATTTATCAACAAGAAACCGAGTAAGTCAAATGGAGAATAAGTCTTAGGGAGAAATAATATGCATGGCAGCATGACGTGCATGTGTAAGATCAAATGAAAAACAAAACTTAAATGGAGAAATGACATGCATGTATCAAGTAATAAGCCGTATGGAGAAGTAATAAGCCAAATGAACTTATGGCCGAACGGAATGCTAATCATAAAACCGTATTTTCATTCTTTCGCCGAGCTGAGTGATGACTTTTATAGTTGTTACTTGGGCGTACTTTTGTCACATGGGGTGATTGGGTATGTGTCGAATGGACTTATTTGGACCTATCCCAAGTATAAATAATTTGAGGGATTATATCCTTGTTGTGAGGTAGCTTGGAATCCACTTGGCTCGGCCCATTATATCGCGTGGGGAAGGTGTGTTGAGTCAAATCAAGCTGACAAAGAAAACCACTTTCAATTTTTTATTTCTCTCACTCAGTTGACTGTAAATGTGGAAAAGTAACCCGCCCGGCCCGGCCCGCGGCGGGTTACATTCTTTGGCGGGTCGAGCCTAACCTGCCCGCCAACAAAGGCGGGCTGGGTTAGGCCCGCCATTTTTGAGAAAATGGCTGGCCCGGCCCTAACCCACCGGGTTAGGCGCAGTCCGGGCCAGGTTAGCCAGATTTTTTTTTTTTTTTTGTTTTTTTAATTTAACTTTTCAAATAAATAATTATAAATATAATTGTTTTTAGTTAACTTTTCAAATATCAATAATTCAATTCAATTCAATTTTTTTTTTTTTGGTTAACATTTCAAATATTAATTCAATTTTAATACAATAAAATTGTAATATAAGAAAAATTAGACTTATTCATTTATCAAAAAATAAAATAAGAAATTACAACAATTATTGCCTCGTTAAAAACCTCACCAAGAAAAACCCAATGGGAGAAAAACTTGGTAAAGAAAAAAGAGTGCAATAATTGACAATTAATTTACAAATTACATTTTACAAAACAACTAATTTGGGGGTGGTTCACTAGGACCTCCCTCATCTGTATCATCTATATTACAAAATTGAAATGATTCTACTAAAGTATTGTCGATAACCTCGTATTGATCTTGATGGCGCGATCGTTCCCAATCTCGAAGACATGTGAGGACTTCAATCATTTTTGGAGCAAGTTTAGTCCTCCTTTCATTTAAAATCCTTCCACTTGCACTAAATGTTTGTTCGGATGAGACGGTTGAGACAGGAACAGCGAAAACATCCAAGGCAAGTCTTGATAATACCGGAAAAATACATTTTCTGGCTCTCCAATACTCTAAGAGATCAAAGTGACCTGTTGAAAACATTTCGGGGGTTGCCAAATATTGTTGAAGTTCATTACTCTGCGACTCCATGGAGGACAGCATATTAGTTGTTGTTGTTGTTGGTGGTGGTGCGTCTGAAGAGGAGGCTGTGCTTCGGACTCGGGTCCTCTTCGGCCTATTCAGTGCATTCCAAGAGAATAAGTCTTCATTTGTTTCTTCTGCTACAGCTTCTCTGGATATTTCGCCTCTTTGCGACTGCGGGTTCCCATACCTGTTTTCATATTGGAAATATACTTCGAAAAGACTATTTTTTACCTCTCCTATTTGATTGATATATGATTCGTTTTGTAAATTTTCACTTAAATTGTCAAGACCATTTTCTAAACGTGCTAATTTAATTCTAGGATCAAATATAGCACCTAAACAATAAAGAAAAGGAACGGGTCTCCAATATTTCAAAAATTTTTTTTCCATTGCCTTTATTGGTGCATGTAAAATTTCATCATCTTTGTTTTTTGTAAATAACTCGGAAATTTTTATAATTGCATGTATTACCAATGGACTAGTAGGATAATACACACCAGAAAGTTGTAAAGTGGCTTGGTAAAAACATTTGAGAAAAGAATGAAATACTTTAGCTATCTTCCAATCATTTTCTACCAAATGATGAGGACCTCTATTATTTGCTACAAAATAACTAATTATATTAGCATAAGGTAAACATGAATCAAGCATTAAATAAGTACTATTCCATCTAACAGGCATATCTAATGCAAAAGTTCTAGGAGACATATTTGATTTTATACAAGCTTCTTGAAATTCAGCATTTCTTTTATTACTACTAGTAATCCAAGCTAAAGATTCCCTAATTCTATCAATATTTTTTTTAATTGTTTTCATACCACTTTTCACAATTAAATTAATAACATGACATGCACAACGTTGGTGAAAAAACTTCAAATTATTATATAAAAGATAATTATTTTGAAAAAATTCTATAGCTTTACTATTAGAACTTGCATTATCTAAAGTTAAACTTATCACTTTATCAATAATATCATAATCTTCTAAAACTTCAATAATTTTATTATAGATTTCTAAACCACTATGATCCACATCCATTAATCTAAATCCTAATAAAGATTTATTTAATTTAAATTCATTATCAAAATAATGACTAGTCACACAAATATAATCTTGTTTAGCTCTACCACTCCAAATATCAGCAGTTAAAGCCACACTAATATGACAAGTATGAAATTTATTTTTTAATTCTAATTTCATTTTTTTAAACAATTTTATTAAATCATTTCTAGTTGCAGTTTTAGAATAACTTTTAAATCCTGGAAAAAATGAATTTTGAACAAATCTTTCAAAATATTTATCTTCTGCCATATTAATAGGTTGATCAGATGCAGCAATATATAAAGCTAACTGTTCCCTATATACATCAGAATTATAACGCCAAGTAGTACCCATATTAGTTATTTGAGTTTGATTGCTTTCTCTATTTCCATGTTGATTAATATGTTTATTAGCATGCCTTTTTAAAGTACTAGTACCATTACCTGAATCAGCTTTATAAACATTTGCACAATATTTGCATCTTGCTTTCTTGACTTGAACGCCATTTTCTGTCTCGTAAAACTTGTCGAAATGCGCCCAAACGTCTGATGTGTGTCTGTCTTCGCTTTCGACGGCAGTTGATGATCCCGCCTCAGCTTGAGATGAAGTTGGACGAGGACGACGATTACGAGGACGACTTCTAGAACCACCGGGAGCTGTTGGAATCGACGGCATATTTTGAGGTGTATCGGATTCTGAGACTGGGATTGGGACAGCGGGACTATTTGAATCTCCTGCATTCATAGTAAAATCAGCGGGACTAGGACTAGGATAGTAGTTTTCTTCATCATTGAAATTGAGGGGAGAGAAATATCTATCCATTGTAGTTGAAAAAAAAATTGATGTAGAAGAAATAAAAATTAAAGAAAGAGAATTGGAATATGGAAATTGGAATTTGGAAAATTGGAAATATGAATTGAAAATTGCAAAAACTAATAAAAATTAAAATAAGAGCAAATTGATAACAAAAAGATTAAGAGAATAAATGAATAATTGAGAGAATAGAGATTAGAGAATATGAGAGAATGAGAGAATTTGAGTTGTGAGAAAAATATGAGAGTTTAGGGCCAATTTATAGAAAAAAATTGGGAAAGAAAATGACGAAAAAGACCCCTCCAATGGCTATAAAACGGCTATATTTCAAGGGTAAAACTGTAATTTAAAAAAAAATTTACATTTTTTTTAATTTTTTTTTGGCCAACCCGGCAGGTTGGCCGTTGGCAACAGCCAACCCGCCTGCAACCCGCCGGGTTGCGGTCCTCCTGCAGAGAGGACAAAATAGCAACCCCCAGGCAGGCCGGGTTGCAAAAGGCCGGCAGGTTGCCATTTTGCAACCCAGCCCGCCCGGGGGTTGCTGGCGGGTTGAACCCTCTTCATTACGGGCCGGGTTAGGGTTGACCCGCCTAACCTGGCCCATTTTGTCCACCTCTAGTTGACTGAGCCGAGTGGAGAGAGTTCTTGTTGTAGTGTGATCAAAGCCGCATGGAGACAAAATTGAGTAGGAGTTGTAGGGCCGATTGAGATGAATCTTCACGTGTTGCCTACTCGGCGGACCAAGTCGAGTAGGGCCATTGTTCATTCTGCAAAACGAATTAGATTTTTATAGAATTCCAAATAAAACTCTGATCAAAGCATGTGAGCACAAATATGGAATATGGGCTCATTGTACAGGAGGCCGAAAATAATTAAAAAAACTCACCTTTCCAGAATTTTGCCACATGGCATTTTTAACCAAGGTGCATTAAATGCCATAAAATAATGCTTTGGCATTCATTCAAAACTTGTAATTTTTTTTTTCCTTTTTCTTCTTTTTTTGAGTTTTACTATTTCCAGCCGAAGGTGTGGGTGATTTCTCCTGATTCTTTCATTTTGTTTTTCTCTATTCTTTTCGTGTTCTTAAAACCTTCTAGGCTACTCTTGGATGAATCTGAGGCAATTTTTGTTGACTTTTGAAGAAGAAAAATTTGGGTTTGTCTTGAATAAAAGTTTTAAGTTTGCTAAAGATGACTTTGGCATTATTTTGAGTAGTTTTTTTATGGATGTTGGATAGAACACGGGATGAGCAATTTTTGAAGGACCTTTAGTATTTGGAAGTGTTTGGCTTTTGTGGTTTCGAAATAGGATTTGGGAGGGGAATGGGATTTGGTAATTCTGAAGGGGAGTCAGTATAGTTGGGCATTTCACTCTTGGTTTGACTTTGCTTTGAACGAGCTAAGTGGTATCTTGGCATTGACGGCAGGAAGTCGAAACTAGTCAGTGTATATTTTTACCAGTTGCCATGGACTAAGGGGGTTCAATTTAAGGTTTGTGGGATTTGGTAATTCGACATGGCTACAACATTAACATTCTGTAGATAGACGCTTGTGCCATATTGGCTTTTTAGAGCGTATTCATTGTAGATGGAGGCCAAAGATGGAACTATTACAAAGATCAATGTGTAGATGTACGCACTAGTTGCAACTAGGAGGTCCAAAGCAATTGCGCCTTCCGGGAAAAAACGTAGCTTCAGATTGCTTAGCATTTTTACAGTTGCAGGATTGAAATATAGTAACATGATGAACTTTAGATAGTTATTCATTGCATATAAAAAATTTAGAATAGTGAGAAGAACATTGTTGTAGGCTGCTTGCAAAAATGTGGATATTGAGAGAATGGGCTTTTCTCCAACTTTTTGACGCTTGGCCAGCAACAAGAAAGACGTAGAGAATGCGTTGCTTTGAGGACGCCCTTTTCTTGTGTCGATCGTTAGCCCTCGATACAGATTTGGTAGTAGGGGAAACCAATCTGGAATGGCAGACGTTGCATTCTATTTTCCCGTTTTTACTGATTTACCCCAAAAGAATCTGTTACTCTATACAAAATTGAATCAAGTTAGTAATAATGCTCCGAGATTGAGCTTTGTTGTAAATTCAAAGCTTATTGGTTCGATTTGATTTTGAACTGTGGTGGTTTAAAATGTGAGTATGAGAGAGAGAAGAAGAAGAAAAGATGCGAAGAATATGTAAACAGAGAACGAGAAGTGTGAGTTGTGTTTTGATGCTTCAAGGTATCATATTACATGCTGAATAGATAAAATATGCATAAAACATATTAGGATATGCCAAATAGATATAATATGGCATATGAACATATAAACAAATAAGGAAAAGTAAAAAAAAAAAAAAAATTTCTTATCGCGATGGAACTTTATGATTAACGATGTTAGTTGAAGGGAGTTATGTGCCTCCTCTCATGTTGCAAGTCGTCGTTGGCAGATGATTGTCAGGGCCCCACGGTGGGCGCCAAACTGTAGATGCAAAAAATCTACCTTTATGGAAATAGGGTCTGATCCCGTGAGGTTGAGGCCACCAGCAATCCGCTACACCTGCACACGCGAGGAAACAAGCGTGAAGCTTACGAAAAACACCGGGGTGGTGTTTGCCATAGGCACTTCGATGCTTAAGTCAGCAAGACTGAAAGAGACAATTTAATGAGATTTAGGGAAAGAAAGATTACCAGGAGTCTTGTTGGAGGTCAAGGCCACGACAAAGGTTTAGAATTCTCGAGAGCTAGAATTTAGGAGTAAGAAGAGGTGATTTTGAGTAGTCGAGATTGATTATTGGAGATCGATCCCCTTATGAGAGGGCATGCCTCTGTTTATATAGTGAACCTAAAAGGGTTGGAATTCTAGTAGGACACTGAGTCCTGTTTTGGGAGATAATCCCTATCAAGAAACAAATAGGATTTCTTGCATTTATCAGATTAATTTTACTAGTTTGAGTAAGATTTAGAATCTTAGCAAAAGAGGAAATAGAATAGGATTCTGATTTCCTATTTATGGAATGTTGTAGGCTAATGGGCCAGAACCCAGTTTAGCTTAACTTATAGGATAGCCTAACTCATGGAGTAGGCAGTTCAAATGGTGACTTTAAGTGTAGGCCCAATCGGAATTGGACTAAGGCCTAGGGCCATGACATGTTTATTTTGTTATTAGGCCTCGTTAGGCCCAAGACGATATTTTGCCCATACACCATTCACATTTCTCTTTTATCATATCTACTAATAATTGAGATGTTCCATTAGGATTTGGAGGATTCAGTGTCTTTGGAAATACTAAATCCTCAAATACCTTCTCTTCTTTCAATTTTCCTTCAACAAACTCTATTATGTCTCTCTTTGCACACCATGCATCCATCCTTTATATATGTATTTCATAATCCATAGATCATATTTTTAACGAGATACCATATTCCCAATTTATCACTCGGATGACAACTTTCACACTTTATATTAAATAGTCCTTCGAAGTTTGAAAATTGTATCATTGATACCTTTATATCCTAACTTTGTTATGTTGTCATTAATTTGTGGTAGATGAGTGAAATGGTACGTAACTTTGGTTTTATAAGAAAGTATTGGGATAAAATGATAATGGTTAGTCTTATAAGAAAGCGTTTTGTAAGCCTAACGACAATGTAATGGAGTTAGGGCAAATGGATGTTTGTGAGAAAGTTTATAAATTTTAAGAGTTCATTTCATAAGGAAAATGAGTATTAGTGATAATTTTTCAAGCTTTGAGGTCCATTTGATAAAAAAGTTATGAAATTTATCATCCCAGTGATAAATTCAGAAACTTTATGGATATTCCATGATATTCTCCTCATTTTTAATTGAAGGAAAATAAAGTATGCTTTTAACACGACCAGCTCAAGGGGCAGGCAGGTGAGCCACATGCCTACGGCCCCACAAAAATAGGGTCAAAAAGGGCCCAATTTTTCTATAATTTTTTTTTTTTTTTTTTGCATATATTACAAAAATGAAAATAGTGTATAACTTCTTATCCTAGTCAGCCCAAGGGAACCTCACCCCCCACCTCCCCCCCCCCCCCCCCCCCCCCCCCCAAAAAAAAAGCCAAAAAGGCCCAAATTTATTATAAACTTTTTACATATATTCCCACCCAAAGTTTAACGAAATAGCAAGTTTGTACCTCTAGTTTCATATATTCTAATTTACACTTAAATTAACACATTAAATTTCTTTTAACAATGAAAGGCTAAAATGGTCATTTACATGTCTCAAATTACTCACCCCCAATTCAATCCCAAAATTTGACATTCACATAAATCATCTCCACCCCTCTTTCGCCACTGGCCATTTGGAGCTGATTTTGGTTGATTTTGCTGAGAAAATCGACTGGAATCATCACTTTTGTTAAGAAATTATCAAGTCATGGCAGCGGAAAACAAAAATTATTTACAACATGGATCATTCCTTAGAACCAAGATCAAGGCACAAATTTACAGTTTATACATTATATTAGAATCTGCAGAAAAAATCAGTTTAGAGTTAAGAAATCATACGCACGTTTGGAGGCTCCTCCAACTTGTCTCTGAACGGGTTTCGCTACCGATCCAAGGGTAGGATCAAACCAGCGGTAGTCCACACGAAGATAACCTGTAATGCCTCACTTGAGGTACGTAGTTACTATTTGGTGTATTATTTAAATGTTCATTGATTCAGCTTCCATTGAGTTTGTATGTTGAGTGTTTGCATTGAAATTAGTTGAGATTTGAGGAATCTTGGTATTACAGTCTTCGCCGCGGCGACGGCGGCTCTATGTTGCAATGTCGGTTCTGTAATTTTTCGCCGGGGCGATGGAACTTTCTTCACTGCTGCGACGGGACGGCATAAATGTTTTCTTGAGGTTTCTAGAGAAGTCTCCATAGGGGCAAAATGACCATTCTACCCCTAATTAGCAGGAAAAGTGGGGAGTGAAATGTAAGAAAATTTCATGGAGAATAGGTTAGTGTGGGGCTATGAGTGTAATGACTCAAAGGATATAGATGGAATTTACAAGGAAAAGCAAGAGCAAAATGGGAAAGGATGGTTAAAATATGAGCTAAAAAAGGGTTAAGTGTAATAAACCCTTCATTTCACCCATTTCCACCGCCATACCCATTCTCTACTTTCATTCAATTTTCCAAGATTTCTAAGGAGTTTTAGGGAGTTTTGGGGTAATTTTAGTAGAGCTTGAATCTAAAGCATCCTAAGATAAGGATTCTTGCTTTAGATGTGAGTTTGTTTATAGTTGTATTGAAGTCTTATATTATTGTTATTGTTTAAAGTTGTAGAGAGAAGATAAGACAACAAAGGAAAGGAGAAGTGTTAGAGCTGGCCTAATGCAGTTCTTTTCAGAGCTGTCAATACGGTGGTATTGCTGCATCAAGGAGTGTATCAAGACTATGGTGGAACTAATTAAAACCCTATTCCAATAAGGAATACCCATGGGCACCAACCCAAGCTTACCCTTGCAACCAAACACCATGTAATTGGTATTTTAAATTAATTAATTATTATAATAATTAAAATCAATTAATATACGTAATAATATATTAAAATTTAATTAATAATAACAATTCATTTAAATATATGTATACATATATTTAAATACAATCTCATGTATTTAATTTTAATATTACATTAAATACAGGCAACAACCTTAGCAAATTTAATTGCACTGCGAGATTACCAAAATACCTTTTCGTCCTGAAAGATGAAAATACCCTTCTCACAAATTGATTCTTAAATTATCTTCTAAGTGTTTGACCCATAGGCTCCTTATCATATCGACAGTGTATAGTATTGCGATTAACACCAATTAATTGTCTCACTACACGCAGACCAAGATTTGCCCCTAGCAAGGCATCATGGCCACCCGATAGATTTGGATTCAAGGAAACTGTAGC